TGAAATTCCCGGAAGGCTTCATGTGGGGCACTGCCACGGCCTCGTACCAAGTGGAGGGCGCCACCAACGAAGGTGGACGTGGCGACAGCATCTGGGACGCTTTCTCTCGGACACCCGGCAAGATCGTGAATGGAGACACGGGTGAGAAGGCGGTGGATCACTACCACCGCTACAAGGAGGATGTGCAACTCATGAAAAAGATGGGACTCAAAGCCTACCGCCTCTCCATCGCCTGGCCGCGCATCATCCCTGCTGGAATCGGCAAAGTGAACGAAGAGGGCGTCGAGTTCTACAACAATCTCATCAATGAGCTGTTGGCCAACGACATCACGCCGCTCGTGACGCTGTACCATTGGGATCTGCCTTTGGCTCTGCAGACCGAGTATGACGGCTGGCTGGGTGGCAAGTTCATCCAGGACGCCTTCGTGCAATACGCTCGCGTGTGCTTCCAGCGCTTTGGAGACCGTGTGAAGAACTGGTTGACGCTGAACGAACCGTGGTGCTCGGCCTTCCTTGGCTATGGCATTGGCGTTCACGCTCCCGGTCGCAAGTGTAAGCCGCAGACGGAAGTGTATCTGTCAGCTCACAACCTGCTGTTGGCCCATGCACGCGCTGTTGAAGCGTATCGCAACGAGTTCCAAGCTGTGCAAAAAGGAAGAATTGGTATCACGCTCAACTGTGACTGGCGTGAACCGGCACCAACGGATGATCCCGCGCAGAAGGCCAAGAACGAAGAGGCCGCAGAGCGTTCACTACTCTTCTTCCTGGGCTGGTTTGCTGATCCAGTCTACAAGGGCGACTATCCACAAGTCATGAAAGACCGCTGTGGACTGCGGCTGCCGAAGTTCACTGAAGACGAGAAGAAGTTGCTGAAAGGCAGCTCGGACTTCTTTGGTTTAAACCACTACGGAACCAGCTACACTAAACCATCGGCCGAGTACGAGGCCAAGATCGCACCACCGAACGACGCCACTGGTGGCTATGGACTTGATGAAGGCACGAAGCTGACGTCGGACGACTCCTGGAAGCGTACGGACATGGGCTGGAACGCCGTAGGCTGGGGGTTTCAGAAGCTGCTGGTCTGGATTCAGAAGCGCTATGCAGTCCCTAATGGCATTCTGGTCACGGAGAATGGCTGTGCGTGGCCGGATCGCACGAAGGAGGAGGCCCAGAACGACGATTTCCGAGTGGGTTTTTATAAGGAATACCTCACGGGTCTGCACAACGCTATTGCGGAAGGCGCAGATGTCCGTGGATACTTCGCTTGGTCTTTCATTGACAATTACGAGTGGGCCGAGGGCTACACCAAGCGTTTCGGACTGCACTGGGTCAACTACGAGACCTTGGAACGTACTCCCAAGAAGTCGGCGCTTTGGTACGGCGATGTCATTCGCAATAATGGATTCGCTGCTTAAAGTGGATACAGTGAAGCTGCAAGCTGCACTTCCTCGTAGGGAACAGCAAAGCAACTGCTATCGTGTCGTAAAGAAGTTGGGTAGCTCTCTATCACCGAGGTTGGGAACGTAAAACTTCATGATGTGGTCGAATCAATTGCAAAAGTTCAACAGCTGCAACAATAGCTTCAACCACGACTAAAATGATTAGCCAACGGATTTCGTTATTCTGACACCCTTCGTTTATGCTCGGTATGTATTGATTAACACTCAGGAAGGGACGGATGTCATGAAACCCGACGATTCTCTTGACGATTATGCTCAAGATAAATTGTGCCAGTGACGTCAGTTCAAAGAGCTCATTCATCAATTTCGCTTGACCTGCACAAGCTTCAACACTCAACCTCGCAATGACCAAGCAGATTCGCTTTCCCGAGGGGTTCCTGTGGGGTGCCGCTACTGCGTCGTATCAGGTTGAGGGTGCAGTGAATGAAGGCGGTCGTGGTGCCAGCATCTGGGACGCGTTCTCGCACACTCCGGGCAAGACTGTGAATGGCGATACGGGCGACGTAGCCATCGACCACTACCACCGCTACAAGGAAGACGTGGCACTTATGAAGAGTATGGGACTCAAGGCCTACCGTTTCTCCTTTGCCTGGCCACGCATCATTCCGGCCGGTGTGGGTGAGGTCAACGAGGAAGGCGTGCAGTTCTACAACAACCTTATCAACGAGCTACTGGCTAACGGAATCGAGCCCATGGCTACACTATACCACTGGGATCTACCGCTAGCATTGCAGACGGAGTTTGATGGATTCCTGGGTGAACAGATCCATGACCATTTCGCGCAGTATGCTCGAGTGTGCTTTGAACGGTTCGGCGACCGTGTCAAGAACTGGATCACAATGAATGAGCCGTGGGTGGCCAACTACATGGGCTTCGGCACGGGTATGCTGGCTCCTGGACGCAAGCATAACAAGCACTTTGAGCCGTATCTTGCGGGTCACAACATGCTGATTGCACACGCCCGGGCTGTGGAAGTCTACCGGAAGGAGTTCCAGGAGACTCAGGGTGGCCAGATTGGTATCACTCTGAGCGCTGAGTGGAAGGAGCCTGGACCCACCGATGATCCAGAACAGAAGAAGAAGAACATTGCTGCGGCGGAGCGTGCGATGGCGTGGAGTTTCGATTGGTTTGCGGCGCCAGTGTTCTTTGGCGACTACCCACAGATCATGAAAGACCGAGCCGGTGACCGACTGCCGAAGTTCACCGAGGAGCAGAAGAAATTGCTGAAGGGAAGCTCCGACTTCTTCGGGCTTAACAACTACAGTTCGTGCTACGTCAAGCCGTCGCCTGAGTTCGAGGCTGGTATCGCACCTCCGAATGACAACACTGGCAGTCTCGAGGCTGATGAAGGCGCTACGGGTTACCAAGATCCGTCCTGGGTGCAAACTGGGGCTCCGTGGAACTACGTCACGCCTTGGGGACTGAAGAAACTCTGCTTGTACATCCACGAGAAGTATCACCCGAAGAACGGTATCATCATCACGGAGAACGGTTCAGCCTGGCCTGATGTGACGAAGGAGGAGGCCCAGCAAGACACCCAGCGCGAAGATTGCTACCGCCAGTACATCGCCAATGTTCACGAGGCGATTACGGAGGGTGCTGACGTTCGCGGCTACTTTGCGTGGTCCTTCTTTGACAACTACGAGTGGTC